TGATACCATTAGATATAATATTACAGACTTTCAGAAATCAAATATTAGCTGCATTATCTTTTACATTCTCTGGAAATTGTTCCACGTGGGCAGATGATAGATTATAAAGAGCCACACAAGCTAGTTCATGCATAAAATAGAATTGTACTTATTTCAGCAGGTGAAACTTCTCTGTAAGACTTTTAAAGCCTAACCCGTGGGTAGGTTGTAGATAAATTCATTTTTTTTATGGGTTTTGACTGAGTCAGACCTAAACACGGCTATTTTTAGTTACTTGCTTTTAGTTCCTATCCAGTCATCTTGAAAGAGTGGCAGAATTATTTATCATAAATGAATATCTCTACTGCAGAAACAGATTCTTTAACAGGGTATCTTCCATTGAAATGTACTCAGTACATTTATTGTGAAGGGCTTTGGATTCACAATAAATATTGAGTTGGATCCAGAGGGACTTCTCTACATTGAACACTACTTAGGCCCTGGAGATCTGAATTCATTTAAAGTAGCTAGGCGTTCCCTTACTACCTTTTTTGCTATATTGGACTACAGCTCCCTCCTTGCATTGTTTCTTGTGTTTTCACCAGTTTGGGCACTGCTTTTGTTTGGGATGAAGACTGAAGCAAATAAGGTGTCGAGCAGTTCCGCTTTCTGTCTACCCAATATCATTTCTCCATCTTCTGCATGCAAGGCACCTACTACTTGCTTGTCTTTCCTCTTGCTTTGAACATAGCCAAAGAAACCTTTGAAAAATATTTTTAACCTCCCTTGCAAGCCTGAGCTCATTCTGAGCTTTGGCCATCAGACCTTCTCCCTGCAACTGGTGGCTACACATGTATACTCTTCCTTTGTGATGTCGCCTTTCCACCCGTTCTTATACATTCCCTTCTTATATCTCAGCTCATCTGTAAGCTCCTTAGGTGCCTCCCACTTTTCTTTCTTGTTGGAATTGTCTGTGTTTGTGTCTTCAATATTTCATCTTTAAGAAACTCTCATCCATCTTTGACTCCTTTCACTTTGAATATTTCTGACCATGGGACCTCTCCAGTAGATCTTCCAGTAGATCCTTAAGTTTTTTTAAAAAATCAGCCTTCTTAAAGTCCAGACTGCATGTCCAACTACATTCAGCTTATCACTTCCTTCCAAGGTTCCCTGTACTTTCGCTTCATTGATCAGTTGCTCTCAGTTGGTGACAACCAAGTCCAAGAGGGATGACTCCCTTCTTTGTGGCCTTCTGGTCACAAGAGCTTCTTCACCTGCTGGATTTTTTCCATTTCTTGGTCCACTCAACCATTGTGAAGAGGTGTGTGTGAATCTGAACTTATGATATGGTTTATCTCTGTAGATCATGGCATGACTATTTCAGTTTTGTAGTATTTTTGTAATTATGTAATTCTGAAAGCCTCCTTGAACATAGTTTAACTATGGACAGACAGCAAAGAAACAAATAAAGATAATGACGATGGTGATGAATGGACAGAAAGTACCTGCAATTTGTGTGATTGCTTTTCTAGGCTAGTATGATTGCACAGTTCATGTGGAATGTCAGTATGTTCCTAGGGATCACCAAGTGAGGGTTGCTAGGAGTATGAACTGGCACATTATTTCTAAACAGATAGATTTTAAGGCCCAAACCTTCCTAGAAGCTACGCCTGTTGATCAAGATGGTCTTGCCATCTAATACCAGAAGTGCACATACACTGGTAAATTGAAGCTGCCAGAAGTTTGGAAGTGGGTTTTTTTCCTTCTTCTCTGTCCTCCTTCTCTTTTTCACATTCTCTAGTTGTTAAAAATGGAACCAAACAGGGCAACCTAAGCCAATGAGTATTAAAGGGCTCAAAGTCTGCATTGCAAAGAATCATTAGATAGGTCTGCTGCCCTGAGAAGTTCATTAGGGAGTGTGCCTCTGAAAAGGGGTGCTTCAGCATATACTTTTGTAAATAATGATGATGTAAGTATATCTGATATTTTTTTAATGACACTATTGCTCCACGCTAAATAGGGATAAGCACTGTGCCACAGTGGCAACCTGTTTGTTCCAAAGTGTGAACACCGAACAGAGCAGACCGCATTATCTTTTGCTGACACAGCCTGGTTTGTTTGCTTTTTTCCAGCTCTGAAACAAGATGCTGCTGCAAAGAGGCACTGCGTGCTCTATCAATCATTTTTGACTACTTAGTTGCTGCAGCTTTAGATGTTTGCCTCTATTTAGAAAAACCCACAATTCCTGAACCAAATCAATTATGTCTTCAAGTTGTGAGAACAGCATATCTGATTTCCTATTACCAGGGCTGAATATGAAATTACACAAGAAGGGTACCACTATTTCTGCAACAGTGGGGGAAGTGCTGCCTCAGTCAGGAACTGTCCTTCCTGACTACTTCGGAGGAAAAGGCGAGGCCCTGAGTCCCCTCTATCATCTTGGCTGGGACCACCTGTCATTTGGTTCCTCTTGCCTAGAAGTGTCTCCTGCAGTGACCACCACACCTGGTCATCATGCAACTTTACTATAACAGTTTGAAAGTGCTGATATCCAAAGTTTGCTTACTCTTCTCTTCCCTCCCCAGTCATTCTTCCTTTTGTACCATGCATTTTGTTTCTGCAGCATTTTGTCACATTATTTTGAACTATGAACTCTCCTGAGTGCTTTGGCAGAAACGTGTTATATCAAGATAGCGAATAAATAAGGAATCAGAATATTGTGCTGGCTGTATCACAATGGATAAAAATCTCTGTTGTCTGGGATGGTGACAGACAGGCAAGAAGGATATTTCTTCACCTCTTGTGTGCCTGCCTATTAGGTGTAAGCACTTTCACTTCTTGAAGTGTCGGAGAGAGAGAAGATGAAGAAGCTGTGTTAGTTTATGGTTCTGCTGAGCTGCTACAGCTATTGGGTGGTAGGTGTGGCAAAGGTGACCATATACCTGCCTCCTTACTCTCCAGACTTGAACCAAGCAGCCCTTCAAGCAGGCAACTGCCCTTTGATGGCCCTTTACACATATGACCATCTTCTCGGAAGGACAACACACGATGGTGCTACTCCCTAGGGCCTAAGCCTATCTTGAGCAATTCATATGAGCTACCCCAGGATCCGTCCCCCATTGTTTTCAGTGCTGTGGCATGCTCAGCGCAGCGTAAAGCCGAGACTTCTTTTTGGAAGTAAGTCAGGTTTGTTAAAAGACAAGGACTGCATTAACTGCATGGCGCCTCCCTGCTGATAAACGATATTGAATGACAGTCGTCTCTCGAGAGAAATGAATTTCAAATCCCATTTCTCACCCTGTGCATATGTTCCTTTCCAACTGTCTGATAGTTTCCCTGGTAATGAGGGAAGCATCTTCCTGATAGTGCTCTAAAACAGATTGCATTTGCGGGGCAGGGGTGGAGGGAAACCTTCCAAAACCTTCCAAAATGAAGAGGGAAACCTTCCAAAATGAAAATGGGAAGACCCCATTTTTATGCACTGTGAAATGATGCTGTTAGTCTCCTACTTTTGAACTGAAAACAAAAAAGAGCAAGCATTACAAGAAATAGTTTTTATGAGTCCTAATGGCTGCTGCAACCCCCCTCCCCTTCTTTGTCATTCGCAGGATTTATGAAAATGTTTAACACCTCGGGAGACCAGCTGAGTACAGGAAAAAATAAAAATGCTGAACAGCAAATGGTGAGTTCCCTGCAGCAGCTGAAAGTGGATCTATAAATAGAACTGCAAAGGAACAACCCTTCTGTGAAGGAAGAACCCTTCAGCAACTGCGGGAGGGAACCTCCGACAGGCTTTGCATTCTAATGAAGGAATGGTGTGAGGGGGAATGACTGCAGATTATTTTTCTTTGAATAGGCAGCGCAGCAGATGTGCATTTTATTTTCCAGTTTAGTGCCTGTTTCCACCCCCCAACCACCACCCTCCCCCCAGAACTGGGGAAGAGGGAACGATAAAAACATCATTAATTCCAACACACAATATGTCAGCAGCAACGTTTCCCTAGGAGGGAAAGCGGGGACTTGGCACCCGTCATCTTAAGCTTCTCCTTGTAGCAAATATAAATTCCTCGTTTCTAACGAAGGAGGAGTTAACAGGGTTTTCACTGTAGAGTT